GTCACGTATTACCGGCTTTCGGAATTTGGGCGAATCTGCAAATGAAAAAGAACCCGTGCCCGACGTGTGAATTGATTTTTGGTTTTCTTGTTTCAACAATGTTGATTTGCTGTCGCTGATCCTGTTTCTCAACGTAGCCGTTAAGAAAGAATAGACCTATTAGTTATCCTTTCAGGAAGTGGTTATTTGAACTGTCACCATTTAGACCCAACTGTCGAGATTTTTCTAGATAGGTGCTTTTGTTTTTTTTTAATAAAGACATTGATCTCACCTCTAAACTCGAATGTGGTCTCTTCTCTTTTCTCTTCTCAACTTTTACGTATTGTCTCTTCGCAATATCCGTACGGAGTCTGCGGGTCTCTTTACATAGCCTAAAATTCTTCCAGGCGAAAGGCACGGCAAATTTGTTTATTAGTGCAGTCTAGCAAGGTCGGGGAGGTTTCAATGGAAATTGCTAATATGCTTAATATCAGAGAAGAAGGCCACGAGTCCTAGTTCCGGAGCAGTCTTATATCCTTGCATGGATTCTGTGCATTTTGAATTTAGTAACATTCTAAATTTTAACTTGAAACCAGTGTTCGTTATGCTGCTCATTTATGACTGTCAAGCGAAGCAAAAAGCTAGAAAGGGCTCTCTTGATTGTTGATTTTGGTTTTTTCATTCCAAAGCATGTCAGGAAAAAATATTAAGTAACTCCTCTACTCTTGTGCCTTCAACGTGGTTTGCGCCGCGTGTTTGATTTTGAGGAAGGTGGGCTGGTAGCTTCACTAAAACTCGTGTGACTAAGATAGAAGGCAGAGTTTTTCGCTTCAGCACTTTCAACACAACAGTTTTGAACAAACCATGCCGAAAGTACAAAATAAAACAATAAAGGAAGTTTTCTTTTGTCGAGTACTTTCTCCAGAGAACCAACGCCCGCTCTGATTTCGCTGTGAATAGCGAATAAGCTTTTCACAAAATTTGTGACAACGTAATTTAATGTTTAGGTAGAATGAGAGAGATGGAAAGCTTTTAGTTCGGCCGTAGGATAATGAAAGGTGTTGAACAA